AAGCACTGCAGGCAAATGTATTTCTTCCTGAGGACGTCTCAAACAGCATGATCTTGTTATGCTGAATGTGCTGGCAGCTTTTGATAGGGCTTAATTGACTAATTCCCTGCATTTTCAATTGAATCTGATCATCCTTTCCTATCTGCTTCACCATATTTTTAGAACTCTGTTTATCAAATAGCTGCTACCTCTGCCTGATTGCTTTTAAATAGACACCCGCTGACCTGCTGCTCTTTTCTGCAGAACCTATGCTCTGCTTTTCGAAATGCACTCATCTTTACAAAGGCTTTGGAGTTAATGTGCTGTGCAGCAAGCAAAATATTCTTTCATTCATCCAGCTCCTCTCAGTGGACGAGTGTATGGACAGTAGGTACTGTCCCTTCATCTACTGGGAAGGGGTAGCCCTGACAGCTGGAGTATTACCATGTCAAAACCCAGTTGGTAATAAGAACAGAGAAAGGCAAGAACATGGTGCTTTGATCTTCACTGTAATCAGGCCATGTGTACTGCCAGCAGCATAATTGTTTTTATTTAGCAAGCTCATCTGGAGAGTATTACAGGCCTCAACACAAGGCAGCTACAAAATCCTTGTAATTTTATCAAGCGCATTAGAGTAATGATGGCAAGAGCCATATTTCCAGCAGTAGATCCTGCCACAGGCACATATGAATAAAACAGTCCACCTTTCTCTAAAATGATCCCACTGTCCTGGTTTCGGCTGCAATAGAGTTAATTTTCTTCCTACTAGCAGGCATAGTGCTGTGTTTTGGATTTAGCATGAGAATAATGCTGATAACACACTGATGTTTTAGTTGTTGCTGAGTACTGCTTATGCTAGTCAAGGACTTTTCAGCTTCCCATGCTCTGCCAGGTGCACAAGAAAAAGAAACGGGGTGGGGGGGCACAGCCAGAATAGTTGATCCAAACTGCCCAAAGGGCTATTCCATACCATATGACGTCATGCTCAGTATAGAAACTGGGGAGAGTTGGCCGGGGAGCAGCGATCGCTGCTCGGGAACTGTCTGGGTATTGGTCAGCGGGTGGTGAGCAATTGCATTGTGTATCCCTTGCTTTGTATATTATTATTCTCATTATTATATTGTTATTATTATCATTACTATTTGACTTTATTTCAATTATGAAACTGTTCTTATCTCACCCCAGGAGTGTTTCTCACTCTTACTCCTCCGATTCTCTCCCCCATCCCATCGGGGTAGGGGGAGTGAGCGAGCGGCTGCGTAGTGCTTAGTTGCTGGCTGGGGCTAAACCACGACACCCACATTTGAAGTCTTTCTCAGTATAGTCAGAACTATTCTCTCCGGATTACTCGATAACTATGCAACTTAATAGGTAGAGAATGGTTCTGAATTATGAATGAATGCTTTGTTTAAAATCCAGTAGCTTTTTCTTTTTTTCCCCCTTTTATGTAGAAGCTTCTCTGGTGTGCTCCTCTGGTGTACTTCTCTGCTTGGACTTTGCCAGAGCATGGAATGATTTTGTCTTCACAGAAATCTGCATTGTAATCTTGGTAGTAATTGTGAACATGAACTTTAATCCTCACTGGGGAAATGGAGTGACAGGGAAGTATAGGTAGAGCAAAAAACTGGAACAGAAAACAAGAGGAAGAAGGGATTAGGGTGTAGATTGAGAAGCTATAGGGAAGGGTAAGGCTAGGCTAATGGGAATGGATATGTGGCAAGGGACCTGCCAGCTCTTCTGTTGGGAACTTGCAAGGTTTGGGAGCAAGTTGAGGAAACCTCATTGAGGAAAATGAGGCTCCTGTGCTTCTCCCTGGTCCTCCTAGCATCAGGGGAAGCCTCGTCTCTGCATGGGCAAGTGGCAGTGTGCCTGTCATCACTGCGACTACAGTTAGACATCCTTCCTGCCAGTCCCTGGCCTCCAAGCATTGGTACTGGTGAGAAAGTGATGGGGGTGCCTGTCAAGAACAGGGCAGTTCACAGTGTCTTCAGCCATTGGAAAAATCTCTATCCCCACTAGGTTTTTTTTTTTTTTTCTTTCCATTTAGCAGAAGACATCCCGTTGAGATGGATGTCATCCTCAGAGAGATTTCCTGCATTCTTAAAGCCATTTCCGTGCTCTGGGTAGATGACTTACTGTACTGCTTAAAGACAGTATGGTCAGTTATTTTAATCTGCTAATAAAAGTATTTGTATAAATGTGAATTGATATTTTTCTCCCAAAGGCCCACTGGCATTTAAAAGCTAGCACTTCTGTCTTTCAATAGTACTGCTAATGCTAAGCATGAAAAATCGTGGGTCAAACCATGTAAAATTATGACTAGCTTTAACATTGAAATTTTAGAACAGTGTACATATCGTGCTTTATTTAATGTAATATTCTTGGTCACTGAGGTCTGTCCTTTGTCATCACAGTCATCTGTGTTTCATAATCTGGTGATTTCTTTAGTAAAACTAGTCAAGTTCCCTTTCCAAAGTAGTTGGTTTCTTCTGCTCCTTATAGCATCTCCTAGGAACACGCTGCTGTGTTTGTGACCTGTGCAATACCAGAATTGTTAGTGATTATGGTTACTATCTAGGTATTCATATTTCTAGTCTTGTGCCACACTGCATCCTTGATCTCCCTAGCCCTGTTGTATATAAGTCTTTATTCCCTTCACTAAGATGTCTAATCTTGCTGGAGGAGGGGCTGGAGCCTTGTTCTCACCACTGCAAAGTGGTGATTCTCCTCCTGTTCCCTAGGGAAGTGGCAGAATAGGAAGCAAAGCTGCTGTCAGCACAAGGTAAGGGAGGACGGGTGGGCGAGGATGCAAAGGGGATGCATAGGGGAGAGGTCCCACAGGGAGGGGAGAGCTGCCGGGGGAAGAAACAGGAGAGGGGAGGGATCTCTGCGTCCACGGTCAGCCTCCCCCAGACCTCACTGATGCCATGTCCAAACGTCACGCCAGGGCTGGAGATGCCTTCGCTAAGATCTCACAGATTTCCGGCCTCAGGCAGAGGAATGCTATTCTCTGGCCGAGGCGCCCGCGTTAACCATGTTGCTTTTTTACTCTAGATACACTTTATACTGCTGTTCAGTCGGCAGGGGAAATTAAGGCTCCAGAAATGGTATACGACGCTACCTGATAAAGAGAAGAAAAAGATCATTCGAGAAATTGTTCAGATTATTTTGTCTCGCAATCAAAAAACAAGTAGTTTTGTTGACTGGAAAGACCTCAAACTTGTTTACAAAAGGTGTGAGTAATTTTATCAGAACATGTAATTACTATTTATATAAATAATACATGCTAGAAGAGGAAAAATAAAGGCTCACTTTAAGAAAAACAGCAAACAAAACCCTAAATGCTAGGCTAAGCTCATAGGAGCCTGCCATCGGCAATCTAACTGTACAGCAGCACAGTGTCCCTGGATCAATTGGCAGGGTAAATTACGGGGGAAAAATACTTGTACGATCTGTCAAATGAGAAAAATGGGAGTACCCTGTTAAGCATTAGTGGTTGGAATTCTGTTAGAAGGCATTAGGCCTCACTGCTCTTTGTAATTCCCCAAGGTAGCCTGCTGAGACGTGTGCTGGGCTTTATCAGGCTCATTGGGAAGTTGCAGGAACTATTCTGAGGATCTTTCAACGTTTGGTCAAATTTTGTCTTTGAAATATTTGTTGCTCTGGAAAGTGTTAATTCCCATTTCCTTTTCCGAACAAATCAATGGTCCCCAGTTACACAATACTTAGCATTAACTGCCTGTTAATTGCTGTAAAGTTGTAGCGAACAAAAGTAGCCTTAAGGTATAGCACACTGTACAAATTAAGCGGCATCTCCCATTTAGGAAAAATTGAGTTCCTTGCTGTGAAGTGATGGATGTAAACATCTGACCAGATGCTGTGAAAAGTTGGGCCTCTAGCCACAGCCCCAGAGAGTTGAGGTAGATCATCACTCCCACTTTGGGTTGATTTAAACAAAGTTTTGCTGCAAGGTAGTTATGAAGATTGTTTGGTCTAAGCAATTTCATGCTTTCTAGCCCTATGTAAAACACTTTCAGTCACTTGATAGCCAGCAGGCTTGCTGAGATGTAACTCCTTCCACCTTCATTTTTGCCTTTATTTTTATTTTTTAATGAAGAGCAGTAACTCATTCTACAGTGTAATTAACCCCACTTACTGTAGTGCTGTTGCAGCAGGTGAGGGAGACCTTAAAATGCTACTGATTGACTCTTTGTTTTATTAAGACCAGTGTTGGAGGTATCCCACTTTGCCAAGGATGCAGTTGGTTTTTCTAGCTATATTAATAATTTGTTTAAAGTATCTGATCTTTTTAAGTGTTCTGTGAGACACTATGAGAATTAAAGAAAATTGTCATTTTAGAGACCAGATAGACATTAACTGTCATTTTCATAACTTCTAAGAGACAAGCAGAGCACTGAGGATCCAGCTGGTCACGCTCACATTTTTGCCTTTGTTTCCCTAGGTATGCTAGTTTATATTTCTGTTGTGCAATAGAAGACCAGGATAATGAGCTCCTGACACTAGAGGTTGTTCATCGATACGTAGAGCTTCTGGACAGATACTTTGGAAACGTAGGTTTCACTTTCTCCCATGAACCATGTTCCTGGCTGGCTGATAAAGAAACAGTTATCTGAAACTGTTTTGCTTCATGTTCCCAGCTGCACTACTTGCCCTGTAGACTCTCTCAATCCAGAGTGAAATTCGTTATTAGAATATTTTATAAAATAGCGCTGAAACTGTCATAAGATTGTTTTTCCATCCTTTCTCCCCCCCCCAAATTAATCTTGATGCTTTGTATGTCTGTGTCAGAATAGAATTTGAGGGGAAAGCTTGAGGAAAATTACTTAAAAAAAGCCTGGGTGACAGTACTTTAATTCTTTATCCTGACATCTTCAGATATACTAGTTTTATTTGTTTCATAATATTGTGTAACAATTAAGGACATATAAAGATGAAAAAGACAAAGTGGGGTTTTTTTAAAAGAAAAGACTTGAAGAAGGTCCAAATAAGTCTTTCAGTAAGTCTTTAAAGACTACAAGAGACCCATCTTTTCTATGAATATTTTTTAAATTGTTCCCACTACCTTAATTCAACTCATATTTAAATCACTGTGCCATGACTCACATTAGTACCGCCTCAAAACAAAAAAGTGGCTGGTGACTGTAAGGTCACTAGGACAGGGAATTTGTCTTGCTCTGTGAAACTGTGCGTGAACGTATGTAACCCATATTACAAGTGCTATGTAAGACCTATTATAAGGTTAGTAGGCCAGGAAGTCAGCTTTGTTCTCTGAAAACCAGTATGAATGTAGTGTATTATATGAAATATAAGTGGAATATCTTTGCTGTAGGTCTAGGCTGTATATGTGAAGAGAATATGTGCAGAAGCTGCAGTAGTATATAATATGCAGTATCTTTCTTCACTCTGCTACCTGCCACAAGAACGCATATGTTGAATACATTTGATCATCTTAACAACTTTTGGCCCGGCAGTGCTTATAATGTTGTAAAAGTGATTTAAATGTGGGGCGTCCTTTTATTCTGCAGGTGTGCGAGCTGGATATTATCTTTAATTTTGAAAAAGCTTATTTTATTCTTGATGAGTTTATAATTGGTGGAGAAGTACAAGAAACTTCAAAGAGGTCTGTAGTGAAAGCCATAGAAGACTCTGACATGCTGCAGGAGGTAAGGCAGAGGAAGACAAAAGGCAAACATCTCATCTTCCTACATCATCTTTATTTGACAGGAGCTTAAAATACAGCTAAGCACTTCTAGTACTTAATTATCCAAATGCGTTTTACGTTCCGCTTCAATAGGTACAACAATGCAGTTAAGGTAGCAGTTATATAAGCTTTCAACTCAACCGTCTTGCATCTTGCAGAATCATCTGGAGGCTCTTTATATACTGCTGTTGCTCTCTTGCAATTTAGCTGCTAGAGTTTCTCAGATATTATATTAAGGAATAGTTTAAGACATATCTAAGAGATTTATATAATATAAGAACATAATCTATTTTATGTACACATATATATATTAAAAAAATACAGAAAAATCTATTCGGTTTCACTAATACATTGGAAACAGATGACCTACTATTAACATTTGAAATTGAAAAGCGTATGTGCTGGCAAACTGCACTTTCTTTCATAAACACCTGTGTAGTTTTTCTGCAGGGCACAGATATGTAACCTTTATTCAGAACCCTGCAGGAATTCTCTTCTGTAACTTGTACCGTTGAGCCACAAATGGCAAAAGCAGTTGAATGTGATGGATTTACTTCATTTTTTCCTGGGTGGTGAAGGATCCATTGTAATACCAAAGGAAACAGCACACTGGTAGAACTAGCTAGGGACACGCTATGGCGAGTTGAACAGTTTTTCACAGTGGTCTGGCATTTGCACATATACTAAGCCAGCTATGTACAAAGGCCAGCTAAACATGATGAGTTTAGCCACAACCGTGGTATGTCATGATTTGAAGATCAGATTCCAAAATGCTGTTATATGCTGCTTTTAAAGCAGAATTATTTCTACATTTTTAATTAATCTGCTCTAATTCCATACAAAACTACAACTGTCTTCAAAGAGGAAAAGAGGATTTGTTTGAATATTACTGTACCACTCCATAATGCCTCAGTTGTTTCTTTTTTTTTTTTTTTTTTTTTTTTCCAGACAGTGGAAGAGTACATGAACAAGCCTGCCTTTTAATGTTAAACTACCTGGAGAGAGAACTGCTGTATACACCTGTAAAATGCTTTTCCTGGGATTGCTTCCCAATGTGCCAGATCCTCAGAGAAATACCAAAAACCAATAACTAAAGGGGTTTGTTTGTATAATGGTGAAGATGAAGGTCAGCTAATGTAGCACAGGGTTTAACAATTCTGTACTTGCATTACTCTGCATATGAGTTTCTCGGAGTTGTTATTACCCTTGATCTAGTTTCTCTTCTTCTTGCTGGACTAAACACTTGTTTTGTACCATGTCTTTTAGCTACGGGTTTTGTCATCATAAAATGTTACTCTGACAGTACTTTGAAGAGGTATTTTTACTAGTTTTTGTCTGCTGCTGACCATATGACTCTACTTTTGTACAAATGTCCATTATTTTGAAAGTAATGATTATTCTGCTCGAATAATAATTTTTTTTCTAAAAGCCAAATTGTTGTGGGCCCTGATTTTACAAACTTCTTTTGAAAAGATTAACACATCTAGTATAAGAAGAAATATGCTTCTCTTTGGACCAGCCCCTTTCTTTCACTGTCTTCCTTCTATTTTCTGCTGTAGTCTGCTAATAAAGACTGCTCCAACTGCTACTAGAGCGCACTCCGCACCTCCATTTAATCTGGAAGACTGTTCTGACTCGAGGTAGGCTTCTCCCAGGTTTAATGAATCCTTTTTGCTGCTGCATGCGGATGGCCTGTTTCTGTCTTTCTCCTCATTTTCCTGTTCCCTTGATCCCTTCCTTGATCCCCTGGACCTGGACAAAGGCTACAACCTTTGGAAGTGTGCAGCTTGAGAGCAGGAGATATCCTGAAGAGAAGAAATTAGTCAGTGCAATTTGGGCTCCATAAACTGATTGAACTGGCTTCCTTAGAGGGATTATCTTTAACAATTCAAAGCTCAGAGAAATTCTATTTATCTTATCCCATAACTCATAGCTAGATGTTTTCTCTCTCAAATCATGAAATTATCCTATGCAAAAATTAGGTAAGTTATCAGACTAATATGCCAGAATGATGCACACATTGATTCACATTTCCCTTCAACATATATTTTCTTTGATTTCTGGGATGTACAGTCAGTATTTTCGTTCAGCGATTTTTCTAATCTTTAAATGTCCTGCATGCCTATTCTAATTTTTTCATTGCTCCTTCCTTCCCAGTCTATTTGCATCTTCCTGGGGAGAGGTTTTGGGGATTTATTTGGAGGGTGGGAGCACTTTGACACAACATGACAACTTTGCTAATCGTCAACCCACTTTTCTGCCTGTGTTATCTAGTCTGTTAGTAAAACTGTGACAGGCTGGTTCATAGCGTCATGCTGCTCTTTTTATAATTACTTTATCCATCTGTTTTCTCTGTACTGATGTCAAAGGCATACTTTCAGCATTGAAAAAATAGTGAAATTGCTGAAAGGCTTTTAATAGCTCTGAAGACATTAAATTTAATAGTAAATTAATGAAATTGTATGAGTTGTATATTATTTTCTCATGGTTTGAAATGAAGTTTTTTAAAGCAGAGTGTTTAATTGATTAATAAGCCACTTCAGAATGTGCAAAGAGTCTCTTTCAGCTCTTTACTTTTATAAGTGACTTCTATTCAGTGAAATCATCAGTAGTTTCATTTGCTTTTACTCTTTTTTGGAGCCGTGCTGTGATTCTCTGACTCTTATGACTGTCATGTTGCTTGAATTCTGGAGTATTTAAAAAAAAAAAAAAAAGGAGTTCCAAAAAGAAGATTTCTTGGTATGAATAAGGATATCATAAGCCTGTCTTTGCAGTCATTCTAAGAAGAGCTGTAGGACTTCTTTCTCTCATTTCAAATGAAGAAGAATTCTTTATGGAAAAAAATAATACATTAGCTAGGGGTACTTAGCCATATCAATATAGCATCTGAAATAAATAGCATCGCCAGACTGATGTATCCAGTGTCAGCTTGAGAAGTGTGAAAGAATTAGTATGGTTTCTTTGCTGTAGTGCAGAAGGTCATTGAAATATGGTGTGCCTGTTGTGCCAGCTGCCTTTGTGCTACAAAGTTGGATGGAAAGTATGTGCTAAGCACTCTACAGAACTGCTAAATTATGTTCATGCTCTAAGAAACATCTACAGATTCCTGTTGCTTTTGCCTATAGATGGGCTACACAAAGTAGGCAGGTAGTGTTACTTAACGTGACTTTTTTGCAAGTCTCGGCCTGTATGTATAGCATACTTAAGAACAGATTGGTTTGAAACATAAAACTTGTATTTATACTTTTTACAACCTTCAGTGAGAAAGAGGTCACTCACCTACATGGTGTTATAATGGCATTCAGCTCAACCCAACTCTTTCTCCAAAGGGAAAAAGCCCAAACAAAACCCAGTTATTGTCAGGTTCCCTTTAGGTCACTGTGTCAAAATGTCTGTGCCTCCATCTTTGTGGAACTCCATTGCCATCAACAGGACTCTACGTAGGTTAGTGCACTGTGGAGTATAGCTCATCAGAAGATTTATGTCTCTTTTGATATCTTAGTTCTTGGATTTTTCTTAAAGCAGGAGATACATATATCTTCGTATATATTCACAAATCTCTCTGAAGCATTGCCCATTTAATTTTATGTTTGCTGTTGATGTTTCTCTTTCCAACCTGCCTGACTATTCTAGGAAATGTACAATGTAAAGTTTTCTGAGATTACTTTATGAAATTATTATCAAAAAAGTATTAGAAAGCAGGTTGCTTAACAGTTTTCCCAATCTCAGTAACATCTTTTGCGGTTATCTAAACTCTCACCTTGCTGACAAGCTTCAAGCATATATGTCCTAGTTTGCAAAATTCCATTTACTAAAATAACCATTAATCATGGTCATGTTTCTAGCCTAGATTCACTTCCTTGCTTTTGCCAGCTGCATCTAACAAAAAGCTTCTTGATTTTCTTATTAGCATCTCTGCCCAGAGGATTCTTACTGTGATCTTACTGCTTCCCAGTTGTGACAGGGCTGGTTCTCTCTTTTGCAACTATTTGCAACTCATGAGTTGTGACATCTTTGAACATATCATGGCAATTAAAAAGAGACAGACATTGGACTGGGATAAAAATAAGTGTAATAATGTCAAAAGGAATATTAAAAGTATGACAAATCATCATGAGTGAGAGGCAAGAGTGGCAGGATCTCACAGGATTCATGAATTCTTATAATTTCTTTTTTCATTATGCATTTCTGAGTGTTGTGGCTCATTAAAATGTGTCAACTCTTACAAATAACTGTAGGAAAATTGACATTTAGGTTACCTCCTATCACTCTTTGTTTAACAAAAAGCCACTCAAAGTGAATCTTCAACCCCTCCCCTTAGCTGCTCGTACAAAAAAACCCTGTGCTTTCAGAAACCTAGGTGGGAAACTTATTGTAAAGTTTAGGTATGGTTCCGTGTCTGAATTTATGCTGGACAGAGTAATGCTGTACTTATGAAAGGATGAATTACTATTTTTTCATCTATTTTACAGTCCTTTCAATAGATAATACATTTTTTATCCTCTGCTTGGCACTGTGCTGTGTTGGAGTAACACAGCATGCAGTAACGGTACATTAAGGGTCAGGAGGGATTGGTTTATAAGGAAAGATTAAAAGAGTTTAACAGCGTGAGTGAGGCTTTCAAAGATACCCAGAGACGTTCAATCAACAGTCCCCTCAAAATAACAAGGCTCGATACAGTTCATAGAGACAGAAAACTCCTATCTGTGCTAGTCCATGATGTTCTACTCCGCTGAAAACACGTTTGAAAATATTTCTGTTAACACAGCTCCTGTGTGAGGGGGACGTTGCTCTCACCCTGCATAAAATGACTAAACCCAAAAGTCTCATTTCTTCAGTTAATCCCTATGGTGGGATTGTCATTAACTTTATCTGATGCCTTTATGAGCATGGAATCTGCATCGTCAACTTACATCATTACATTTTTGTTTTAGATGGCTGCCAAGAACTCGTGAGCTCAGACCAGGTAAAAGCATCCTTCTGGGGAATTTGACGACATTCCTATTGAATTGAATAGCGTGCGTGTTCCTCAGCAAGTTCATAGTACAAATAAAATGTAGCTGTTGATTTAAATGTCTAGTTGGATTTTTCAGGGCTTTTTTTTCATGAAGATAGCTGGTCTAGGTTGAAGCATAGTAGTGAAAGCTTAGTGTTTGTAGCAGAAATAATGGGCTGTGCTGCAAGAGACTTAATGTTTGCTGTCATGGAAACCTGTTGCCTTGGAACATGACTAATGAGACCCAGGCTAAGGGAAAGAAGAAGCTATTCTTTAAATTACTGTTCAGCGAACCCTAAGGAAGACCAGCAATATACATTATCATAAATTATAGTTATTTCAAGTTCTGTTGTCTAGTCCACTTAACCTCGTCTTTTTATTTACTTATTTAACAGCTCTTGTAACCACATATTTTCATACAAAGAATGCTATAAAATAGTTCAAAGCTAATCCTTTGGCCGTCTAGAAATAAATAACATCTTATTTGCATTCCTCTTTCCCAGTACACTACAAAATTTGGCCAACTTTTCCAGAAAGGACACACTGAAAACAAACTTGTGACTGGTCTGAAATGCCCCAGCGAGCCAGGGGATAGTTAGCAGTTTAGCTGAGGATTTTTGCCTTGGGTTGTAGTTGCACATTTTAAAGACAGTCCAGGTATATGAGGTAGGGAACATTTCTATGTACATATCCATATGGAAAAATCCAGTTACCTCTGTGCATCAGTGTGGTAAGACTGCTGCTTGCTAATGCTGAAAGGAAACTTGGGGGGGGGGAGCACACAGAAGGTATCTTAAAGTTTACTTTAAATTCCTTCATCTCCTTTTAAAATTCCCTCTGAGAATTCTCCTCTGTTCTGCAGCTTCCTGCTCTGAACCCAATATGTATCATTACACACTAGATTCTGCAGTGGAGAACAGAGTGCTGATGTTTTTTTCCTGCAAAGGTGAATTTTGTGTGTCTGTTGTAAAAAGCAATGCTGAATGTAGAATCCCTAGTTACACAGGGTGACAAATTCATTACAGCTTGGTGCGGATTTCAGCTGCTCTCTGGACCAGGATCTTGCATGAATAAATTGTCAGCAGATGTGTTAAGTCTCCCAGCCTTGCAGAGATCATGATTCAGGGTCCTTCTGGAAGCTAACAGGGAGAAGTCAGCCTTAGCTGAGCAGAGCCGACAATGACAAATCACAGATGAACATCTTCACAGAAGTTTCAGGTGAAAGAATATGTTCTTTTTTATTTCTCAAGAGGACTTGGGATGTGGTCCTAGGTGAGTATTATGCTGGATAACAGCTCTGAAAGAACAATCTGACAATGTGGCAAGAAAGGAATATTCTGGGGAAAAAGAACAAAGAAGTGGCTGGGTTTGTAAGCTGACAGCTGCATTTGGGGTGAAGGAGGATTTTTTTTTTCTGGTGTCTGTTGTCAGTGACAA